TGGAGTCGTGTCTTATAAGACAATGCGATTCAATACTAAGACAAGTGAATGATGTGCCGAGACTTTACAGGAAGACCAACAAAGAAGTGCCCACTAAAGCGTCCAATTATATCAATCATTGCATTGAATTGATATTTTCAATCACTTCGAGTCAAACGCAGGTTTGGAAGACTGAATGGACTCGTTATGTGTTGAACGAAATCACCTCTCATTACAAACAATACACGTCAGAAGTGTTGACATCCGTTCAGAAGATTGAAGACAGTCTTAAACGACTCAAAAAGGCTAAAATTGGGAATCAAAACAATGTGTCGAAGAATAACTTAAATAACATGTCAGATGACGACAAGATTCGCCTTCAGATCTACTATGATGTCCAAGAGTTTGGACAACAGGTAAGCATTTGGTAGTAATTCTCAAATTTATATTTATTAATTCAATTGTTTGTTTAGATGGAAGACAAGCTGAAGATTGAAAGCAAAACAATTGATTCATTCCTTGAATTGTCTGCAATGACCAACACATCTAAAAGTCTAATTAATTGACCATTTATTTAAAAATCTAATTTATTGCATAATAAACAAAGTATAGAGAGTATAGGCTTGTGATAAGCGAGTGATTTGTATCAAATGATTAACTTATATTTATTACAAAATTAATTTAAACATAAAGTACTGTAACTATTATTGTTATGACAAATATTAAGAGTAATAAAATTTTTAGTCTGAATTGAAATTTGCTATCAATTAGTAACCAAACAAACAAACATTGGTTTATCACAATTGAGTAATCACTCCAATTAACACATTCGTAACAAATTGGAGAAATGGTAATCGTTTATGACTACCACTTGCGCCCCAACTCATTCATCACTGGTTACAAGAATGTCCACATGCGAGTGGATCCGCTCTTGTGATCACACAATATTACAATTACAGTATACAGTATATATTGGCATAGATTTATTTCATTGCAATTCTTAAAAATTGTATGCATTTATATAAAGCTATTTAATAAATTTATAAACATAAATAATAGTAAAATGCCGTCAAAAATGGCATTACTTGTCAAATACTGTGTAAATGAGAAATAGTTGGCAAATATAACACCAATTGATGTAATATTTTGTTTAATATCTTTGTTTCTCTAAATCTATATTATTTCTGGGGATGTCTTTAGTGTCGACACAATTGGTGTGCGTTGTGTTGGCATCGGATGGACTCCAACCGGCGAACTGATCCAACTGTTTCTTGCGGTGCATCTCTTCGGCGTCTCGTCTTCTCATGTATTCATTGATTTCTGATTCATATTTAGGAGAAGTTATGCCCAAAAAATTGGCCAAACTTTCGCCCAAATAATCGCAAACTTTGAGACTCTGAGCGCCGAACCAGAGGACAGATCTCTTGACGTGCGAAACGGTTGACCAACTCTTTGGTTACAAATCAATTCAATTTTAATATCAATTCAAATCAATACAAATATATTACGAAACCATTTCATTGTTCGTGTCATCGGTTTTAGTTGCCATCACTTCGTTGTCTTCATCACCGCTGGACTCGTATTCCTCGACAACACCATCGCTGAAGTGAACCACTCTTTTGGGTGTCTTTATCTCACACTCAACGCAATCACTGCTAACACTGACAGACATTTTAACACTTGTTTGTCTTCATCACCGCTGGACTCGTATTCCTCGACAACACCATCGCTGAAGTGAACCACTCTTTTGGGTGTCTTTATCTCACACTCAACGCAATCACTGCTAACACTGACAGACATTTTAACACTTGTTTTCACTATTCATTTGACACTCAATTCAAACCAATTGTCAAAAACTATTTGTGTTTACAAAACAACAAATCGTGTTTCCGATGACAACAGCTGTTCATAAACAACGTTACGATTAAACGCCCGAATTTGAGCCCATATTTCACACATTGAATAGAAACTGAATGCAAAGGCCATCAAACGCGAGATTCCCCTTCCGTTCGCCAATTTTGTCATTTAATTATATCTCAACTAAAAGTAAACAAAACTTTTTAAAACGCAAACAATTATTATTGTTATTAAAAATGTGTTAAAAAGTGGTTTAAATGAATGCTAACTAATGTTGTGTTAAGTAATGTCTAATTTAATGGCATGTGTTGTGAGAAGACTTTGCGCTTTGGATAGCATTGGCTCCAGAAGTGGATGTGTTGTCAGATATTTATCGCAAAAACCGCAGAAGAATAACACGAAAAACTTTGAAACCAAAGACGAGAAAGAGTTGTCGAAAGTGAAGATCACTCTTAAGGATCAAAGCGGACACATCTTAGGCATCAAATCGATGACTGAATCCAAACTATTGGCGCATAAATTGAAACTAAACTTAATTGAAGACAAATCGGAGACAAAACATAAATACCAATCGTTTTGTTTGGTTTCCAACAAACAATTGGCACAAATGGACGACCAGTTGAGTGACAATCAGTTGCCATCGGATGACACAAACGATCTCAAGAAGAATGAGTCGATTCATAGCAGAGGTGCCAAAGAAATGAAACGTTTGGTGTTTTCCACAAAAGTCGATGAAAACGATTTGTTGACTAAAATTAATGCAACGAAACGATGGACTTCTAGAGGACATCACATCTCTATACATGTGACAAATCCTCAAAAAGATCCCAAACTTCTGGTAATTAACCCATTATTTAGTGAATTCTTAAAGTTATTAATATTTAAAATAAGTTTTTGTTTCGTAACTAAAAGGAAGCGATTTATACCAAATTTGAGACACAATTGAAAGGATTTGGAAAATTGAATCAAAAAAAGATTAAAACGGATAACACAATGAAGTTTATGATAATTCCTGATCACATTCAGGACCCGTTGAGAGGCGATCGAAGTGAGGCACTCGTGAACACCGATCAGGACAACGACGATATTGATCCCAACAAACTGTTGAGCGATGAATTTGAACAACAATTACAAGACATCGACAAAAAGTGATTTATTGTTAATAAAGTTATTTTACATTTATTTACAAATTTATTTAATATACGGTAGTATTACAGTAGTATTGTAGTTATTTGAGTAGCTGTTAATTGTGGTAAACTTGCATTTATAGCCCATAACAATATATTACTAAATTTAATTGATCAAAGTTTGCCCATCAGCATAAGTGTGCACTTTTAAACCAAGAATAATGTGATTCAATTTTGTGACCAAACAAATGTTTAAAAAGCCACAAAACAATGTATGTGTGCTTTTTAGTGAACATTTGATTTAAATTAAATTTACGGTATATTCAATTCAATTTAATTTTGAATCAAAGTCTACAAAGTTATACAAATGAGACACAAGAGAGCGCTTATCACTACTTATTTTGCCATTCATTTGTCGGCCAAAAGTTTAGCATTTTTGCAAATCATTGCCCTTTAAAGCCATTAACACATTGAATACAATCCCAACATTTGGTCCCTTTGTATACAGCAATTGACGTATTTATTGAATGCATTCAATACTAATATAACGGTATATATTGTCGTATAAGAGATAACACTGTAATAGAAATGATCGGCAATTGAATGAAGAAAACAGCAATCGTTTTGATTGAGTGTTGAATTGAAGTGACAATTGGTTTATATAATTGATATTTAAGACAATTGGAAGCGATTGAGTGATCGATAGGATGACATTGAATGCGATGAACGACACGACAGCTCTGTATGAGCTGCTGAAGAAGGAGTGGCAGCAGAAGAGACCAAATCTGGACAAATGCGGACAATTGTTGACTCAGTTGAAGGTCTCGCTGACGGGTCTGTCGTTTCTGCCGACCCATGAGATGGTGACCAACAAAGAGCTCATTATATCGCGCGATGTCTTAGAGATCGGAGCCCTCTATAGCATCGCTAAACAAGACATCCCATCCTTTGAACGATATTTGGCTCAATTGAAGACTTATTACTTCGACTATAAGTGAGTTTTGACACCAATTTTGTTGTCATGTATTATACGAGACATTAATTGATTGATTGGTTGGACAACAGCTCACAACTGCCCGAATCGGTCTACAAATACCAATTGCTTGGACTTAATCTGTTGTGCAAACTGTCAAAGAACGAAGTGGCGGACTTCCATACCGTATGCATCATAAACCACACCATTTGATTTATCACTTGATTTGATCCCATTTTGTATGCAATAGGAGTTGGAGTTACTTCCGGCCAAAGAGATCCAAAACAACGTCTATATCCGACATCCGGTGTCTTTAGAGCAGTACTTAATGGAGGGCTCGTATAATAAGGTGTTCCTCTCGAAGGGCAACGTTCCCTCTCAGACCTACACCTTCTTCATCGACAGACTTCTGGACACAATTCGCATAGAGATTGGCGTTTGTATTGAGAAGGCGTACCAACACATCGGCGTCGAAGAGGCGAAGAGACTCCTGTTCTTCGAGAATGTCTCGCAATTACAAGAATTCGCCGCAATTAAGAAGTGGAGTATTACTGGAGGTGTGATTCAGTTACCCGTCGACAAAGACGCCGGACAGACGGCCAACAAAATACCGGCCAAAGAGTTGGCCCAACAGATCATCGATTACGCCAAGGAATTAGAAATGATTGTCTGATCCGACTCTCAATCCATTGTATTTCTACTCTTTATTTAATTTGTATTTCAATTAATAAATTCTAAAACAAATATGTGTTTCAATTAAATGCATGTTTTATTCAATTCATCAAAAGTTTCCAATAATTATTTCCATACATTTGTATTAAATATTAGTTATAACTTATAATATAAGAAATGGACTATAAATTAGATCTGAACGGCATTTATAATAAAATTAGTTTAATATAAATTGATTGAATTGTTTTGCAGTGAAAAATAGATTTTGTTTAAAAATACGATATAATTAACGGTACAATAGATAAGTATTTCGTAATAGAAGAGATGATCACTTGATTAAACCATTTGACTATCAGTTCCTTAAAAGTAACCAAACATTGACTGAAACAGCTTTCGTAAAAATATTCTAGAATTTAGTATAAATTTAATATTAAATAATAAATAAAATACAAATATATTCTTAAAAAAGTTGTCAACAAAACAAATGAGAATTCAAACGATAGACGTCTGCAAAGGGTTGTCATTGCGTGAAGCGGATCGCGAAGTGTCTTGCGATTGGTTGTGACTGTAGTTTAAGTCGGATGTATTGCCGTTGGGTTGGACCCAATGGCTCACTTCCGACACCATATTCAGTGATGGCACACTTGATTGCACGACATTATTGGCCATTGGATTGTGTATTGGACTCGACATCGAGTTCATTGCAGTCATTGGATTCGAGTACTGACTGTTCGGTTGTGAATACATATATGAGTGCGAATGCGGGGAACTATTGGATCGATGAGATGCCGGCGAATAAGAATCACGATTTGAAGCCGATTCCCATTGTTGCTGAAACTGTGGCGCATAACCCATGGGCGGAGCGTTGAAACCCATCGATTCAAACGATACATTTTGGTTATTACCGATCGCACCGTTTGTTTGGAGAGAAGAGAAATTGTGTCCCATTTGCGGCATTTGAGGTCCCATTTGGTTGTGGTTCCAGAATGACATAGAATCTGGTCCTTCATTGTATGGTAAGTGCATTCCGGGAATAAATCCATTAATCATAGGGGGAGGCGGCGGAGGAATAGGTGGCAGAATGTGACCGAAATGGTCGGGTAATGAGGAGACAGAGCTCGCAGAGTCGTCTAGAAATGAAGAATCGCCTCCAAAGCCATCCGAAGATTTGAAGGTTTGAGTGAGTGTTTGTCTGAGAGCAGTGGCCTCTGCTTTGGACTCATCGAGCGATCGCTGGGCAGTTCGCGCGGAGATCCAGTTTTCGTGCACCTGTTTCTCCAATAAAGTGATTTGCTTTTTATATTTACTTTCCGTTTCTGTGATCTCTCTTTTCATTGATTGCAATTGACTTTTAAGGGAAACATTTTCGTCTTCAATGGCAACCATTTGAGTGGTCAAAGAGTTTGCGTCCTCTTCTTTGATGAGTCGATGGATGTGCTGAACACCGATTTCTTTTCCTAATTCCACTTCTTTTTCCTTATAATATTTGGTCAGAACTTGTAGTTCTGTTTGAGCCCTAAGCCTATCACGACCGGCCTCTTCGCACTCACTCTTAAGGGTTTGTTTTTCAGTTTCTAAAGCAATCACTCTATCGTTAAGCTGTTGGCACTCTTTCATTGTTTGCGACAATTTTACATTTAATTCATTTTTATCGATAGAAAGGCTCTTCAGTTTCAAATCCATTTCTACAATATTATAGAAATTAATCACAGATTTGCCACTCATGTCGTTATCCGTCTGATCTTCACTCATGTCATTCTTCTCATCCAATCTCAACAAAACCCCTTTCATAGACTCGATTTCCGAGTCCTTTCTGGCCATGAGTTCTCTCAAACCATCGATTTCTTGAATTAACTTTTGGGAGTCATTCAAAAGCTCTTCATTTTTCTTATGAATTTCAGACATTTTCGTCTGAAGACTAGTATATTGTTCGTCTAAAACAGTGAAACTGCTATTTAGTTCACTTTTCGATGCTTTTAGATCTTCATTATTCTTCTGAACAGTTTGTAAATTATGTTCAGTTTCTTTGAGTACATTTTGAATTCGTTTCAATTCTGCACTCATCTTATGATTTCTCTCTTTGAGTTCTGAAATCTACGAAACAATTTCACATCAATTAACAATTAGTTTCACATTTAAGTCAATATTTACCTCTTTTTGTTTTTGCTTTGAAATTGATTCAAAATTGGCCACTATTTCTGACTGTCGTGTGATTTGTTGCTGTAATGTTTCGACACTTGAATTTAAACTAACGTTTTCTTTCTGGGAAATCAAAAAATCATTCAATAGGCGATTGGCCTCAAGACTGGCCTCTGCGGCGCTTTCGAGTTCACTCTCCAAACTATTCACTCTTTGATACAATTGTTCCCTTTCGGCCTTTAATGCATTGTTAGACAAATTAAGCGCATAATTAGTCATTCAAATAGAAATCATTTTTAGTAATGTTAGATCACAAGCAAAATATTCAAAATACATGCCAATCAATAAGTACTGTATTTGCAAATATCTTATTGTGAAGACAAACAATTGCACACAAAAATAATTTACCTTAGAGTTAAGGCATTCACTCTCTAACGGAATCACTTTATATTCTGACAAATGAAGTTTTTCCTCCGCTCTCTGTGTCTGTAATAATAATAATAA